ACGGGAGTTTTTTTTTTTTTTTTATCCGATTAACCGAACTCAATAATCGGCCAACTAATCGATTTTGAAAATAATCGTTAGCTGCAGCCCTAGAAACCATGGTTGTCACACAGACAGGGCTTGTCTGTATTTGATTGTTTCCAATACATGGTGGATTGATGGTACTAGTAGTTTATACAGAAAAGATCGATGTTTTTGCTATCTTTTTCTCTGTCAGGAAGTGATGAGGATAGGGCATTTCTGGCAAGCTCAACAGGTATTTTTTGTGCTTGCTAAAAATATTCTTGGCCTAAAAAATGTATGAATGCTGCTACCACAGCATGAGTACTATATAATATACAATATAATACATTTTTATTAGGGCATAACCTTTCAGGTAAAAAGTGTTTCTCTCCCGGCCGGGATGTGTACTCACCGGCCCAAGCAGCTTTATCGGGTAACGCAGGGAAGGGGGAGGAGTCCAGTGACGTCACGGACATCAACGTCACCGGACTCCTCCCCCTTCATTAGCCGACAGCCACTTGGGGAAGGGGGAGGAGTCCGGTGACGTCGATGTCCGTGACGTCACCGGATCTCCGACGGAAGACCCGGAAGCCGGCGGAGAGGTGAGTACTGATCAAAAGAATTTTGATCGATCAAAAAAATTAACGATTAATCGAGGGATTAATCGTTAATTTCCGCAGCCCTAATTTTTATTAAGGTTTAAATATGCTTAAAAGGCTCATATAGTGTGGATGGGCTTTGTTTGTGAACACTGTGTAGTGTTACAACTAGGGATGCACCGATGCCGAGTATTTGGGTGAGTACATGTGAGTAGTAAATGCTCCGATACTTATCTCGATAGCGGAACTTCTAGTCACTGGGAAATTTCCTCTGACCAGCAGTGCCGCAAGGGAACATGAAGCTGGCTTCCCCGCCTTTCAGGGAGACGAGCCATGTGTGTAATGACGGGAAGCTGTATGGCCCCCATGTCACTCTACTGGTTGTGGTGTGTTAACCTGTGTATTCTGTAGACTTTGTTATGCTGTTTTGAGTGATGCTCTCTTAGTCATTTATCTGTCGGTGTGCATTCATTTTTTCTTGTTGTGTATGGCTGTCAGACTCTTGGAGATAATCTGAATAGCTCATTGTATCTGTGCTTTCTCAATCAATTTACACCTTCAACCACCCATCCACATATGCTCCTAATGTTTGATGAACTGCATTTACTAAGGGTGTGTTTGTGTGTGATGTCATGTTTAATTATGACATAATTTTTGCCACCCTGTGTAAAATATTCCCCATCTGCCATTGTTAATCAAGGCTACAGGCTTTCCAAATAGGTTTACACTGTCATCTTCTTGCCGCCACTGTTACCCATCCCCCCGGCCGCTCCCTGTGAAATGAGACATGTGATTTCTCCATGGAACCTGTATTTCTGGTTTTTGCAACATGGCTTATGCAATTTAATTTGGCTGTATGGGTGGTGTTACACATGGATAGTTTCTGTGAGCTTCAAATTAGATTAGCTGTGTCCTGTTTTAAAGTAAAGATGCCGTCTGCACAGTGGTCCAAGATTGCACAAGCTTTGTACGTTCCCTGGCACACTTTCTTGTCATTTGCAAGATTACTTGTAGAACCACCCATGTTATAATCTGGGCAAATTGTGAATAATTTCGTATGGCTCATCTACACCACAATGCATGCGCTATGGGCATAATGTGTATGTGCTGCCATGTAATTTTGCATTGTACCGCTCCACTCTGCATTCCTCCCTTCTCTTCTTCTTTTTTTTTTTTTTTTTATATACACACTCTGCGGGGTCCTAATTTTTTCCCTTTTTTGTCATGCGCTTCAGCATGTTATGATGTGCAGCCTGTCTTTTTTTTTTTTTCTCTTTCAGTGCAAACCATAGGTGTAAATAGCTGACATTAGAAAATAAGTACAGTATTGTTCATGTGCCCATAGTGGCAAAGGAAATGGTGGGATACACTTGATGAAATAGCTTTTGTTTTAGGTAAAATATATTGTGTAAAGCACTGAAACCTGTAGCAACCAGCCAGAAGAAACATTATTATATTTGACTGCATACACGGGTTCAGCAGTTGTGTCCCTAGGAATTCTTTTAAAATGTTGACGTATATGCTGAACAATGCAGCACACTTCTTTGACTATGCAGACTAATCCCTTGTATCCCTAACCAGATGACCTTGTTTAAAGGCTACAAAGCCTCAACTCGGTCTCAACTGACATGCAAATAATAGGCAGTGTATTTCGTGTGCAATTCAAATTTGCAGTGAACAAAAATAGTTTTTCTGATTAAAAAGATGGCAAGCAAGTTTATACTGCTTTCTTTGTACAATTATCTGTAATTACAGCAAAGCAAAAGATCAAAACAAACCAATTGACTGTGAATGGATGGTATTCCCTGCCGTTAAAATCCCGTTAAATATCTGATCTGTTTTTATCCAGAAGGGTAGATCCCCAAGTAATAGTGATCAGACCAGACAGAAACTTGCATTACTTGAAAGGAAACTGGTTTAAGAATATAGCACCATTTTTTTAAATTATTTTTTATTGCTCTTGGCTGTGTAAAGTATTTTAATATATCTTTCTGATCTGCTATATGTTGAAGCCCTATAGCAAAAGCCTTCAATTCATGGTGTTCCAGCTTATCAGCTCTTGTCACTTTGCCCATTCAAGGGAAAGTGATGGTCCTTAAACCTTACCACTGACCATCTTCTTACCTTCGTTGCGCATTCTTTGAGTCACCACACCTGGTCCTTCTTGGTATGGAGGAGCATGTGACCTCCTCAAATGATTCAGTGCTCAGGTTGGCCACCAATTGCCGGGTCTCAACGCTGTTTTGGGAGGCGGCGGCGGATACATAATTAACTCTGAGTAAACTCTGACTTGATCCAACATGGAGTTTACACAGGGTTAGGACAGCAGAGACTCAATGTAATGGGGGAGCAAGAGGAAGGTGAATATAAGTGGATGGAAAGTGTGGTAGTAAGGGACTGTCAATTTGTCCTGAATGTACAAAATGACAGCCCATAAGCTGGAATTGTTTGATTTTGCTATATAGCTTCAAAATATTGCAGAGCAAAAAGTTATACTATATAATCGAAAAGTTAAAATGGCCAAATGCAATGTGTATTGGTGCTATATTCCCTAAGGCCTTGTTCACACCAAACGCGTTCCAGGAGCAGAGCAGTTACAGACCGGATGCAAAACTGCATCCAATGTATTCCAATGGTATTTTTAGCTCCAGTTCACATCGCAGTGTTCCGTTCCAGAGCAGGTTAAAAAAACTGCAGCAGGCCCTATTTTACCTGCTCTGGAACGCATGCAAACGCACTGCACTGAAAGTCCATTTTAAACTATATCACCGCTGCCGCCCGTCGGCGCTCTGCCGCCCCGAGGCCGGGCCTCGGTGGCCTTGTGGGAAATCCGGGCCTGCCCGGAACGCATCAATAACGCGGCACAACCCACTGCACTGCGTGTGCAGAAACTCATGCAGCTCTGCTCTGCATTTGGTGTGAACAAGGCCTAATACCACTTTAAAGAATATCCCAAAACTGAAACCTCTGCCTAGAATTACTGTGGCATATTAATTTGTTTTACTTGTAGTTTACAGAGGTAAATATATTCCTTTTTTTTAGTCAGCTGTAGTTCATAATCTGCCTTTTGGTTCGGTCTGTGCTCAAAAGCAAATTCTGATCTTCTCCAAATGGGGCTCTTCAGGTATGAAACTTCCTGAAGAGCCCCTGAAAGCTGCTGAACTTCCCGCATTATTTGTTATCTTGTTATCTTGTTTGTTCTAACAAAGAGATTTTGTAAGTTTGTTTTTTTTAACATTGTTTTTTTTAAATCTGTGTTTCTGCAGATGAGCGAGAAGCTGTCCAAAAGAAAACCTTTACAAAATGGGTCAATTCCCACCTTGCTCGGGTGACCTGTAGAATTTCTGATCTGTATAACGACCTGAGAGATGGAAGGATGCTCATTCGACTATTGGAAGTGCTCTCAGGGGAACAGTTGGTAAGTGAGATACATTCAAAAACTAAGCAAATGTTTAAAAAAATCCCCCCCCAACTTCTCATTTATTTCTATGGCTATGTCCACATCTGAACGTTTTTGTCCTTGAAGGAAAAACGTCTTTCGCTGGAAAAAGTACCGGTACATGAGCTTCTTTTTGGCGGGTTCTGCGCTTCTTGGCCCCATAGACTTCAATGGAAACGCTGAAAAAACATGTGTTTTTGCACGTTTGCCCATTTATATCAATGTGTCACAATTTGCTCACAAAACGCGCGACTTTATGTATGCGCTTTTGCACGCATAAATACGTGCTACACAAAATGCGCTGAAAACGCGCATTTTTGATGTTGCTCAGGTGGGAATGCCTGCGAAGGGTGTGCTTTAAACTGTTTTGTGGTTTTACCTGCACCGGTATATATACCCCTCAATGCGATTTTTACTTTAATTTCATTGCAGCATCCCTCACACAAGTGTTCAGTGATTTATGCTAATTTTGCACCCACCGTATTTACGGTTTTCCTACTTACTTAAAAAATCATGTTATCAAAATGTATGCAGTGTTCCAAAATGAACACAAATCTATAAAACCGCTATATGCACAAAACTAGAAACAATGTGCTGAATTCTATCTTGTAAAATGTATTCGGGCTTCAACCAACTAATCAATTTGATAATGAGAATAGTTGTCAGCTATTCTCATCGATTAGTTGGTTTGGTCCTCTAGCTCTCTCCTCCATGCTGGGAGGAGAGCTTGGCAAGCGGTGGGTGCAATAGCCAACTGCTATTGCAATTTGAAATGGCCAATAACAGGCTAGCTATTGCACCAGCCCACTACCTGCTGTATTTATATTAAGCTGCCGTCTGCAGAATTTTGCCACTGATGGACACAGTATAAAACTGGATTTTAAGGACTGCACTGATTATTATCCATACATTTTAGGGCTGCAACTAATGATTATTAAATCAGATTATAAAAAATAAATACCATCCTGCACTACACTGGAATGCACGGCAGCTCTCATTCCCTGGCTGAAGCTGTTCAAGTGCCATGTGCTTACAATACAATTATTTAAATAAAATATATAAAAGATTGGGAAAAAGTCATTTTTGGTTTCGGCCTGACAAATTCTGCTGTGGGAGGTGCGTTGCAGTGCCATTTATTTCAATGGCACGCCAAACTTGCCTCCCACCCACAGTGTGATCGCCCACACTGGAACGCACGGTACCCCAATGCCGTGCATTCCAGTGTAGTGCTGGATGGTATTTATTTTTTAAAATCTGATTTAATAATCAGTAGTTGCAGCCCTAAAATGTATGGATAGTAATCGGTGCAGTCCTTAAAATCCAGTTTTATACTGTCCACCAGTCTTCAAATCAAACAGTGGCGTGACTTGACTAAAGCGTGCATGACACTTTTTTTTTGTGAGAAAAAAGAACTTGCTCATAATTAATGAAAGCCTTGCGACGGTTCCGGTTGCGTGTCATGGCCATATTAGTGTAATGATGTCAGCCATCATAATTCCACCCCTTTTGTTTACATTTATTTGCCAGCTTGGGAACCTCCTGGTCGGCAGCTGAATGGAGCCGGGGGTGAGTCACTTGTTGCCAAGAAACTGGTGGCTGCATTGCCGATAGAATCAGTCGTTGCTAGGATTCTATGTTCTGAGCTTGATGGGGAACTCAGACATTAGTTCCCTATTGGTTGGTAACCACTTGATGACCTGGGTGTTTACACCCCCTTCCTGTCCAGGACATTTATCAGTATTCAGGGCTGCAGTACTTTTGACTGACATTTGTCAAGTCACGCAACGCTGTACTGAAATGAATTTTATAACATTTCTTGGGGACAGATAGCTTTTTATTTTGGTGGTATATAATCACCACTGGGGTTTTTTATTTTTTACCATATAGCACAATAATTACCCAAAATAAAAAGAAATACACAAAAACAGAGTTCCCTATGTTATGAAACATTTAAAATTACCCAATTTTATGGTAAAATATAAAAGATGGGGTCATGTGGGTTAAATAGACACCAAACATGTCAAGCCTTAAAATTGTGCATGCCTGCGACCTCGCATAAAACTACCACCTCCAAAATTGGGCATTGGGAACACTTTAAAAGTTTTTACCGCTCATCAGTTTAGTGTTAGCAGTGATTGATGGCCCAAAAGTTATTGTTCACACTTTGATGTTCACGTGTGGTGTAATGGGCGCAATCGTCGTTTTCACACATAGCAGCACCCGACGCATGTGTATGTGGGGACAAAGAAGCTGATGAAGCAGAGACTTGCTTCACCAGCTTCCCTTTGGCTTCTGTAGCTGCATGTGGAAATGATGTAATAAACATCACTTCCGCATTCACAACACCTGATCTCCCTGCACAGAGCCACAGTGCCGGTCTTGGGCCCACAGGGAGCCCGGGATCGATGGAGGAGAAGGGCGAGCACAAAGGCACAACATACAGGGTATCGGGCAGCTCTACAGCCGCCAGACTGCTTTGTATGTTATCAGCCATCAGTGGCTTTTTTTCGGTAACATTTTTGAGTTTCCTGCTCGTGCGCGGCACAAGGACGTTTTAAAACACCCACCCACGTTCCGGCCATTTATGTAAGGCTGGCGGGCGGCAAGTGGTTAAGGACAGCGCACAGCTTCTTAACCAATTATACTGAAAGTGGACGTAGCCTAATATGGATGCCAAGTGACTAGCTCTCCATTGGGTCTGCATCGCTACTGACAGCAGGTGGTCTATTGGTTATGAAATTCACCTGTTGCCCATCATAAGGGAGATGGACCTGAGAGGCTCCACCTTTCAGAGTTCCACATTAGGTTGTGCCCACCCATAACAAAAGTCCTCGGCCTCTGCACCTGGCTGTGTGACGGGTACAGAGCCAGCCAGAGAGCTCAGTAAATGACAACATTTGATTTATATATATTTTGTTTCCTTTTATTTATCCTAAAGCGCAGAATAAAGTTAAAGCTGCTATGCTAAAAAGCACTAGTCTTCTGCAAATCTGAAGTAAAAAATGCATAGCGCTGAAAACTTTAACTGTCACCTTTTAAGTGACACCCCTTTTTCAGTGGATAAATAATGTTTAACAATTAATAAACCAGTGACGAAATATATAAACATATAATAAGCATACAGTGATAAAACTACAATTCTTGGAGACCACGAATATAAGTCTCAAAACAGTAAAAAATATAGCACTCAATAGTATTGACCATAAAGTGAATATCAACACTCAAGAAATAATGTGCATAATAATATGACCTATCTCTATCATGCTAGTGTTCCATCAATGATTATAACAACACCAATCGTAATAGTCCGCTAAACAGTGATTTTAAATGGTAAATAATATGAACTCCAGACCAAAGTGACTTTAAAAAAAAGTCCACATGCAATTTCATATGACTAATGTGACCCTAATCGGTGCCCCTGCAAAAAGTGACTCCAATCCTCGTGGATAACCCCAATGGGTGTAAACTCACCCGAGTTATTGACTGTGAAATGACAGTCAACCAGCTCTCTGTTGATGAATCAGAAGCCTGCTGCAAAGCGATGTCCCTCTGCACTTGTTCTCGGCGTTTCCGTAATGCTGTATTTCAAAATTCCCCCAATCACATCTCAGATCTGCCACCCTTTGACAAAGTCAGAATGACGAAACGCATCAGCAGCGGATCTTATTGCCGTTTACTGTGTTTGTTTTACACGAGACAACAAAGGATTCTGTTTGATGTCTGCTGGCCGGCGTTCGGAGTTTTAAATGTGAGTCTTTTATTACATTTTTAAGTTTGTTAATATGCTGCACAATGAGGGTCTTCACTTGTTTTCTTGCGATGTAATGTGATTGGGGGAGTTTTGTAAAACTGGGAGTTCAGGCAGCAAATATTCAATTTGTAGAGACTGAAATGCTCTCATATCTTTTGTCATAAATTTGTGCTAATGTCAAAATCCCCGCTCTTTTCCATACTCCATAACCTTGTACTTTAGCCACTTTGAATATTTCTATTTTCCTGTGTGCGTGCATGCTATTCAACAGGCCTTTAGTTGATTTCCATACTTTACCAATCAGTCTTATAGTGGGCAAAGATGCAAATTCCTTCAAATATAGGGTTGTCTCCAGGGACGTTAGGGGATCTTTTGCATGAAACAAGTATTTAATAAGAGAATAAACCCCTGAGTTTTGCCCTGCTTGCTGCCACCCCATTAGAAGTCTCACTTGTGAGGCTAAAAAAAGATATCCACGGGTTAGGTAACGTCATACCCCCTTTCCCTCTCGGATACTGTAGAGTCTCTAACTTGATATGCGAATTTGCTTCTTTCTTCAAATCAGCTCTCTAAACATTGCATTTATCCTCCTAAATACATTCCGAGTCATCCAACATGGAGAATTATGCAGTATGTAAGCAAGCTGAGGCATCCAAATCATTTTCATAAGATTGAGTCTACCCACTGGTGACATGGGGAGCCTACACTAACTATGTATTACATTGTTTCCTAAATTTCTGCAAAAGAGGTGTTGTATTATCTTCCACATAATTCAGACTCCAACCCTGAATATTTCCCAAAATCTAAAAGTATGGACATAACCTCTATCAAGGAGTAATTGGTCTCAACGTATCATCTGCATATAATATTATCTTCCTCCTCCCAACGTTTAAATCCCACCACCTTAGGTGATCATCTTATTAAGTTGGCTAATAGTTCTATCGCCAGAGAAAATAGGAGTGACAAGGGGCACCCCTACCTAGTTCCCCTCATCCACCTAAAGGCTGAGGATGCCAACTTATTCACTTGGATTTTAGCAAAGGGACTTGCATACAACAGCCGACACCCAAAATAAACCTAGGGCCAAATCCAAAAGCTAAGTATTGCCCACAAATTGTTCCACTCTACGCTATGAAAAGCTTCTGCAATATCCAAAGATAGCAAAGCTTTATTCCCTATTTGTTCAGGGGGCACTTGCATATTTAAATAGACTCTCCTTATATTATCG